GCCTGATAAAAGGGAGGATAAGGGATTACTTTCTTCTCTTGCAGATTCTGCAAATAAAAATCCTTTTAAGTACTAAGAAAAAAAAAACAAACACCAAACCAAGTAAACTGTAAGCTTTGGAGAAACTGCAAAGAATTGTTTTGTAGTGACTCGCTCTCTTGTTAACACTCATCACATGCCACGATGAAGTCACTACATTTAAGTGGCAGGTGCACACCTTAAACTAAACCCAGCACTGGTCTAAGATACTTTCATAGTGCTGAAGTGCTTGGGCATGGCTCACTACACGCCACCCAACTCAAATTCTGTAACTGAAATGCAAAAAAAATTAAAGCACATTGCAAACTAGCAAGCAGGTGTCTTAATGGCAACAATACTTACAGGCAGATACTGCACCACAGTGCCATTTTGCCTCCCCACAGCCAGTTGTTTTCCCTTTGGGCTCCAACACACTAAACAGAAAAGAGAGCTTCATCAGCATTAAGGAAGTGTAGAGTTACAAGGTCCCATAAAGCAGGACCAATAAATTAAAGCTGCTTTTTTTTTTCCCTCTGCAAAACCCTTTGAATCTGAATACAACTCCTGTGAATATCACAGTCTTGCCTTTTAGATTACAGACTGACAGAAGAGCTGAAATTCTTAATCCTCACACTGAGCTGCAAACAAGTTTGAACTTCACTCCCATGTCCCTCTGTACAGCTTTATATTGCCCTATAGTGGAATATATCCAGTTACGTTTCAAACATACACTTCAGTTGACACAAATATATGGGGACAAGTTAAAATCACAGCCAGAGCCCTAAGAATTATATTAGAGCAGTCAGAAAGATGCACCAATTGTGCTAAATTTGGGAGAGAGGAATACAGTCAGGGGTAATTATCAGTGTGATTATATTAGCAGGTTTTTTCATAGCCTTAGGGAGTTTAAACCCTTCTGTTCATGATCTATTTTAATTCTTTAAGAACCTTCTTCCTGAGACACAAAGCTTGTCTTCTTCCACTTGTGTTTCCCCTTCTCTCCTTAATTATCCAACATCACCTTACCCCAAACTCACCAGAGGTAACAGCGACCGAGGGAGGCAATGTGGCATACACTTTCACAGAGTCTGTGACCTGCAGGACAGAGATGCTGCCATCGGACAGACAGACAGCCACCATGGTGGGACTAGCAGGGTTCCACTTCAGGTCATTGACCATTGCTGCACTTCCTGAGTCCTTGGCCAGCTTGTGATAAGCAAACATACGCTTCTGCTGTTTTGCCTTTTAGGAAAGGAAAACGTTTGAGACAGTCCATGCTGAGCTCAAAACACATTTCTCATCAAGTCATAATCCAAACCAGTTTTGGCCTACCTATAAATTAACAGCTGACAGAAATAAGTGAGGCTTTAAACTGAAGAGGGTAGATTTAGATCAGATATTAGGAGGAAATTATTTACCTAGAGGTTGGTAAGGCAATGGAACAGGTTGACAAGAGAAGTGTTGGATGCGCCTTGAAGTGTTCAAGGCCAAGCTGATGGGGCCCTGAGGAGCCTGCTCTAGTGTAAGGTTGGAACTAGATGATTTTTAACATCCCTCCTAACCCAAACCATTCTATAATGCTAAGAAGCAGATTTTGAGTTTAATAAAAAACTTCCTTACAAGATACCTCCCACAGGGGCAGAAAACACCGCTCAAGGCATGACAATCCCTCTGATGTAGTTTAGGGAAGTAAAACAAAACACTCTGTGTGTGTGTACAGCTTACCTGATTAAAGAGTGTGCGGACATCAAAAAAGCCAATGAAGGAACCAATGTCACTGGACATCATACAGACAGACAAGGTGAGATTATCACAGCTGAGAGCCAAGTGCTGCACTGGAAACTTCATGGGAACTGAGGTACTCTGGACATTCTCCACTTAAAAGACAAAAGATGAGGAGGAGAGGATGAAGTGTATGGATTTAAACAGCAAAAATTTTAAAAAAAATGAAGTTAGAAGTTTATGCAAAAGTCATTAAGCATACAGCATTATAAACAGTAGCTATCAGAATGGATGTAGAAAAATTCACTGAGTGAAAGCAAAGCCCTTCATCACTAGCAATATAGTCTTAAAAGTCTCAAATTTCTTCTAAGAGAAAATGGCATCTTCATTCTTCAGTAACATGGAGGGAAAATAAGTGGACACTTTCCAGGTTTTACTTGTGGTACATACACAGGGACACTTCAAGTAGCACCGTTACCAATGACAACATGAGAATGAAAACCAAGCAGTTTTTATTGCCAACAAGTTTTTTTTGCCATTAAATGCACTTAGGTAGTGAGGTGGCAGAAAGCCATCACTTCCTCTCTTGTAGGACAGTCCAAGTCCAAGCCTATTTGGGACGAGAACCCTGCCCTCTCTCCTGTCACAAACATCTCAGATATACACGTAGTTTCATGGTTAGAGACAGGTTTCTAACAGCACATGCAAAGACCACGACATATGAATGCGTCTTACCAATGCTATTGGGATCTTCTCCAAGCTGATTCTGCATGAGAAGATCTCTAGTGTGAAAGATCTGCAGGCTGCTTCCTCCACCAGCAAAGACCAGGCCGTATTTGTTCGACACTACAAGGAGGCTGCACCGCTCTTTGGGAAGATCATCAGGAGGATCAAAGATGCGGACCTTCTTCAGAGCTCTGAACTGAAAATCCTGTTGGAAGAGAGTTCAAAAGTAGCTTTATGTATGCTAGTAAACATAAATGGTTTACTTCTGTTTCAGCTGAAAAGTCTCTCCCATATTCATGCTATTGCTGAACATCCTATCACATTTTCTGTTCTGCCTACAAAAGAAAAAAAACTGAGATCACAGCTTTGCTGTTATTGGAAGCACTGGTTGAAGCTCTCTTCTACACAGCAGCCTGCTTTCACAAAACTTGTAGGAGCTGAATCTGTCTCAGACATTTAACTCCTCTCAGAAACATACCTGAAACAGGGAGAAGAGAAAGGAACAAAAAACCTTGTTGCCTAAAAGTTACAAAACACACAACTACTTAGCTCATCTTTGCTAGCTACTGTAGTTTATCATACACAGAACAGAAACAGTTCTTCCTTCCACCCACCAGCAATTACTCAGTACAGACTTATTTTGTGAACTCACTCATCTCATAACTTATGCTGTCTTTATGTAAAAGGAGAAAAAGAAGAGAAGGTGAGAAAAAAATAGAAAAGAGAAGGTGAGAAATACAACTGTAAAAACATGGCTTTAGAAACAGTACCTGCACTATTACTAATGCAAAACTGTGCTCACATCAAGTATGAGCATCTCTTCTCTAACCACTGACCACAGCACTGTACTTAACATCGTTAACTCAAACCAAGCACGTGATTCTTATTTCATTTCGCCAAAGCACAGAAAAATTGCATTTCTGCAATCTGAGGAAGCTGCAGGAACTCAGAATCTTCTGCAAAACAAACAACCCAAATCTTTGGTTTTGAAAGTATCTGTGCAGAAAGCAGCTGCACAGAGACTCAGAGGGCTGGAGGAACGTGTGCTGACAGCCTTGTTCTGCTCACACAGCCTCACAGCAACGCACTGGAACCACACGGGTGGGCCTGGCTGGCAGCACGCAACAAGACTCCAACAGACAGCAAACACAGAATCACAGAATTGTCAGGGTTGGAAGGGACCTCCAGAGATCATCGAGTCCAACCCCCCCTGCCAAAGCAGGTTCCCAACACCAGGTAACAACCAGGTAAACCTACACCAGGTAAACAACCACACCTGCTCAGGTCTGCTGTTCTCTCAAGCATGTGCTCCCCCATACAAGTCTCACAGCCAGAAGGGCTCCAAAATGTATCACTCCTCTGCCCAGGTGAGCTCCTTACACCCCTCCCTCCAGCTCTCCCAGTGTTTCAAGAAAACATATGGAGCCTAAAGCCTCCCCACATACTTCAACTTTACTAGTACACCTCTCCACTGCGCCCCGAGCCGATCCATCCCTCTTCCACTCCACAGCCTTATCCAGACGCTGCCGAGAAGCACTCAAACACATCCCAAACCGTGCAGGGGTTCCCCAACAACCCCCCAACGCCACGAACCACACACAGCCCCCTCCCCAGCCTGTTAGGCCCCGGTGACCAAGTCCCCCCGGCCTACCACCCTCACAGCCCACACCAAACCGCCAGAACTGCGCTCCGCTAAGGGCCCTCACAGCCCTACAGCGCTCTGTCACCCTCCTCGCGGCCGGAGTCGACCCCCGAGTACAAAAGCCCGAGCCCGCCGGTCTGCCACCCCCTCAGAGCCGAACCCACCTTCATCTCCCGCTCGGGGACCAAGTCCCCGTCCTCCCCCATGGTGGCGGTGCCGCAGCCGCGGACCCGCCCTCACAACAGCGCACAATCGCGGAACTCCGCACACCACCGAGGAGCCCCGCGCGACGTTGCGCTCACTTCCGCTTCCGTCGGGGCCGCTCTAGACACAGCCTCTCTATGGTCGGTGGCGACCGGAAGTGCCCCGCAGTCCTCCAGCGGGCACAGTATATGCCGATGTTGGCGCTGAGCCCGCCCGCGCTATTTAATAAAGCCTTTATTCCTTGCGTCACGAAGCTGGGGAATGCCTCGGCTGCTTCTCCTACAGCACAGCGCCGGTTGGCTTTGCTGCCCCAGGAAGAACCGCTCTCCATTTTGATAACCCACATCAGATAACCTCAGGCAATTGCTTTAAGAGCAGAGAGGATGAAAAAGTAATCTCACAGGGAAAGAGCTGCACGTGTCTGCTCTCCATAAACACTCATTGGAACAAGCACTGCCACCTGTTTTCTTTACAGAAGGTCAGGCTGGCTTTCAGGAGGTGCCCTCTGTATTTCGCAACATGAACTCAGAGGCACTGGGTCAGTTCTTAGTGATAAAAATCAGCCCAAACCCATCTCTAGGATGTGCTGGAGGGGTTTATATTAACCAACATGGAAAACAGCTCAGCTAATCTGCAACCAATCATTTGGACCAAACTGAAAAACTGAACTAAACACACTGACACGGCGTGGCTTCAGGAGATTTATTTTCAGTCTTTAAAGGAGACTGGTGCTGCTCTTACAATTTTTCTCTCCATTACAGTTTTGGTTATCATGCGGACAGTAGTGAGAATGTTTTTTCTTTAAAAGTGCAGCCTTTGGCAGGAACAATAAGCCTAGGCAAGTTAATCATCTGTGTTTTCCTTTAAAAACTATTCAACCGATTTTAAAAAGTTCAAAGCTGCCAAGAACATTTAAGAAAAACGGGGAAAGGGCAAAGAGCAAACATCTGGATTCCAGAAGTTGTGCGAAGAGCAAGATTCACTGCAGTAACCAGAGTGTGGGCAGCACAGTCCCCGCACTTAGTCCACACAGCCATCATTAGTGTGTAAGCTTTGGGGTTTATACATCAGGGAAGTGTGTCTGGTAGTCCCACAGGACCAAGCTGAAACACATGCAGAGCAGTCTGCAAAGTCAAAGAGAGCAGCTGCATGAAGAAAGATCTTCATCCACAGCTGGTTTGGAAAAGCTCACAGGGCTCACAGTTTGGGCACCTCTAGCTTCCTTCTAATTTCCTCCAAAGCCTTCCTGATGGGCTGCAAAGGTGTAACAGCAGGCTTGTTTCTACACTTGGACAGTGAAGTTGTTCAGCAATTATGCTCCTGGTCTGATCCAAGTAGTTTTATCAGAAAGAGGATCCTAAAGTCGCTTGCTGGTGTCAGACTTCTCCCTTTCCAGAACAGGACTACAGCTCGGCCTTTTGCAGATCACCTCTGTGACTCTCTGCTTGCCTCTTTTGCTACGGCTGATCAACAAGTCTCATAGGCTGAGAAAAGCAGAACAAACCCTAAACCAGGAAGGGGCAGGGGGAAGGACCTAAAGCTAAAAAGAGCAATGCGCCAGTGGCTTTTCCTCAGATGAAACAGACTTTGCAGAACTTATTCCTGTAGTCGTGGCTCAGTTGGATTTATGCATCAGGGTTGCAGAGACAGCCCTGAGTTTGTCTGCATTTTGTTCACAGCTCCCATAGCGAGTTCTTGCCTTTGCCTTGTAGCCAGCCATTAATACAATGGACACAATTTCTAATCTCATTTCTAGTAGGAGCTAGCAGGACACTGTCTGCATGGTTACTCACAGAGCATGTTCCTGCTGACAGGTTAGCTCTGATCCTGTCCCTAAGGCAAACTACAGAGGAAGGACCCAGAAAATTGGCCTGAGAACAGAAGGGCACCGTGGCCCTACTGCCTTTGAGGGAGGTGGGGACTTCAGGCAGTGACTTCTGAAAACGTGAACACCTGTGATAAGCACTTCGTTCAAGGTGAAGCCCAATGAATGTCCTTTAGCTGCTAAATTCAATGAGAAGTGTTCCCTTACAACATTGCAGCCTCAGCAGCTGACAAAGGTCTTCCAAAAGTAGAGAACCCAGGCACATCAGGGACATCCCATGCTGATTGTGTAGAACTTGCTCCTGGAGCTGATGAGGACACAGATCCAGGACTAGGGTCTAGACTCCGGTCAGGAAGCATAGGACAGAACAGAAGGCACTTATTTGCACCCATGAAGCTGCTATCTGATAGCAAGTCTCTTCAGGAACCTGCTGTGACAAGCACAGCTCTGAATCCATCAGGGCATCATCAAGAAGGGCAGGGGAAAGAGTTAAGATCACAGGACTTTTTTTTGGTCTCACATTATACTTGGTGCTACAGCTTCTGTCTAGGAAATCAAGTTAGCTAGCGGATACTGCAGAAAGATGCGAGCTGGGGTTACCAGCTTCCCTTGCTGTTCCTCTAAGGCAGGTTAGTTGAAAACTAGGACTGTTCACAGTAAAGAGTAACAAAGCACAGGTAACCTCCGTTACAGACCAGCAAAGCAAACAGTGCCAATTTTCCAGCCTGTCCTCTTCAAGGGAGGCTGGCTATATCTCTCTCCGGAGGCGGACCGGAAGGTTTTGGATTGCTTTCATTGGCTTTTCCTTCAAACATCATGACCCTGAAAAACACAACAGATAATACATATTAAAAAAAGCAGGTGCATTTTCACTCATCATTGAGACTGGGATTATTTTACCTTCTATGCAATGGCCATCTGATAATTACAGAGGACAGAAGCCAACAGAGGGCAGTGCTGCCAGCTGAGCCGCAGCATTGCTTTTCCAGCAGCTTCAGGGAGCGAGTTCCCAAAGCCTCTGCTGGTTTTCCTCTCAGAGCCCAGAGGATTAGCACGTTTTACTTAGCCACTTCCCAAATCCCCTGGGTGCACACTGCATGCTAAGTGCTCCTAAGCACCATCCCTGGCCCACCTTGTGCATAACCATCCAGTAGAACATTCAAAAGTCAAGCCAAACAACAGCAATTACAACCAGAAATAGGACAGATACAAGGAGCAAGGCAGTAGCTAGAAGAATCCCAAGCATTTTGCAACAACCAGCGCTGTCTTCCTCCCTAAGGACTGCAGCTACGCTGGGAATGCCAGCTGCCAGGCTGGATCAAAGGAGTGCACTGCTCTTGGGACGAGTTTTACATTTCTGCTCCTGCTCTAAACGCTGCTCAACACACAATGGGGCATCTGTTTGTTAGCAAAAGAAGGGACCCATCTGTGAAAGCTGCCGAAGTTGGAAGAATAGACGATATTGGGCTGGCTGCAGGCTCAGCCTGCTTCAATGAAGAGAGGAACAGAGTTGTCAGAAGAGCGCGTGCTTGGAAAAGGAGCATCCTGACATGCACTGAGGGGGAGAGAAGAGATTGCCAAAAGAATGTAGCAGCTCAGAGAGACGTCCTTCCTCCCAACCTGCCCAGAAAGCTGGCTGCCTTTTTAAAGCTCTTTTCAGAAAGGGGCAGGGGGCATGGAGAGGAGCGGCTCCTATTCATGGCGGCAGACAAAAGCAGGATCAGCCTCTGTGGCTGAGAAAGGAAAAGACAGGCTTCAATGGGGTGGAGACAGAGCCAAGAAAACCCACCCTGATACCAGAAGGAGCCAAGTGAGCGGTGGGAAGCCATTTGTTACAGCAGGACTTTGAGAGCCCTGTTGAGAGGGCAGAGGAGGCCGTGGGAGGCGAGTGCTGGCAGCTGGTAGCACAGCAAACCTCCCCCAGCACAAGCCAGCCGTCCCAAGCTGGTGTCTTCTCTCCACCTACCAGCTCAAGTTTCAAAAAAATCAGGCAGGGAGGGAGCATTCCGTGGGTTGTAGGAGCCAGCAAGACCATCGTTTGCTGCTCACGTCCTCCCTCCTGTTGCACAAGGGTTCTCCTCCCTCACCGCACCACCCAACAGGCACAGCTCCAGCTCTGCCAGGCAGGAGAAATTTCTCTTCCCAGCTCCCCCAGCACCTCCCCCATCCCTTCCTGGATGGCACTCACAGTTTAAGTACAGCAGAGCGTTTGCCAAGCATCACGTTAACGAAGTCCTGGTAGGAGATGGTCTCGCTAACCCCTCCGGTCACCTCAGAGATCATCTTCTTCAGCTCTAGATGGGTCTTCGGAACACCCATCTTCTCCATCATCCTTTTGACAGACATCAAATCTGCAAGAGTGAGGCATCAGCACTATTGAAAGATAACTACACTGCACCCGGACCAACCTCGAGGCACAGGCTGGAGCTCGCAGCTCACCTCTTCACTAGGGCTGATGGCACAAAGCTGTCAGCTGAAAGCAGAGAGAAGCCCTCAGTGCAGCCCCATTGCTGTATGGGCAGCACTTCCTATTCATGCAGCTCGAGAATAAAAGAAAAACATACTGTTGCAGAAGAACAGTGCTTAAGAGGCACGTAGGGACACCGCTATTGAGCTCAGAAAGCAGTGCCAAGAATCACAAGGATGCGGAGGGAAGAAAGCAACACTGAGGTTAAAGCTGGAGACAAAGAGGCTCTGGGAACAAGCACTCCTGCCTGGCACTGCAGGTCGTTTCCTTCCATTGCTCTCACCAGGCCAGAGTCCTGCAGCCCCTTCCCACCCGGAAGGGCAGCACAGCAGGGCCAAGCTCCTCCAGCTCCCTGGGCTGATATCAAGGGCTGACGGAGGAGGGGAGCCAGGAAGGAGCCTCCTGCAAGGGTTAAATGCAAGCACTTGCTCTCAGGTGTCTGCTCCAGACATGGAAAAACCTGCATCTTTACTTCTGCTTTCCAGCCCCAAGGCAGGGCCCTCTTTGCTCAGCCACACAGCCACTTCCTCTCCTTCCCTCCACCTCCACCCCAGCAAACAAGCGCTTCTCCACACCACAAGTGCTGGTGGTTTGACACAGCTTCCTCCTCCAGCCAGGCAAAGCTCAGGAGAGCCCGAGCCCTGCAGCTTCCCTGCTCAGGAGATGCTGAGGATTGAAAACAAAAAGGCCTGCGTGGAGAAACTGAATCATTAAGAGCAGAGACACTAAGCAAAGCATTAGGAGGAGATCAGCACTGAGAAAACTGAGATCACAAAACAGGCAAGAGATTGAGAGAGCCAAGAGCAGAGGCTGCAGAGCCAGGAAGCCTCCAGCTGGGGTCCAGGAGCTGAGCAAGGCTCGTCCCAAGAGCAGCCCATGATTTTCCTCCCCAGAATCACAATTGCAGAGGGGAGCAGCAGTCAGCAGCAGACACCCTCCCAGCAGGCTGCTGCTTTTCCAGCCCAGTAATGTCCTCGTGTCACTCACCAATCTCGCCTTGGTTGTTCAGGTCAAACTCCATGTACTTCTCTGGAAGAGACATAAAAGCAAGTTAATGGGTCAGAGCTGCTCTGGCAGGGAGACCCAGAGCAGGGGACAGCAGGGCTTTGGAGCAGTGCCTGCTTAGAGCAGTTAAAACAGGAGGTTTGGGCATAGACTGATGCAGGTCAGAGAGGGAAATGATCTCAAGACCCAGTTTTAGCACCCTTATCTCGAGTCCAGCGCTCAAGAGTTAAGCATTCTTTAATTATGGCCGCTTTTGTTTGAGCTAGAAGAAAACATTGGCACAAGAACAAGGTATCAGCTAGCCATGGGTAGCCTTAGAAGGCTTCCAGCCAGAAAAAACAAAGCTCCAGGACAACCTCCCAGAAGGAGTAGCAAGAAAAGCAAAACCCTGAGCACTCCCAAGACAAATCTTGATCGGATTAGGAGGGGATTAAGTGACGTCGTTTCCTGCAATAGCAAGGGACAAACTGCATGGCCCTCTGACACCATGCTGCTCTCCAGAGCAGCACCTGCCAGCAGAGATGCTCAAGGACCACATGAAGAGGGCAAAGCCAAAATCATGCTTAGGAGCAGAGACACTGGAACTGCTGCTTGCCCTTCCAGCCTGGTGTCAAACTTCCCCACACCAGGCAGCTCCAGTGTCCTCAGAGAAATGCAGCCTGCAGACAGCAGCCTGGACAGCTCTGCAGGAAGAAAGCTGGCATGCCACAAAATAGCACTGAGCTAAGCCAGGAAAGGAGGATTTCAGTCCTGTGCTGCTTCTGATCTTTGCAGAGGCACACCTATGCTTCTTACCCCTCCTCTCCCTTGCTAGTTGTTGCCCATTTAGACTGTAAGCTTTTCAGGCAAGGATTTGTCCATCTTTCATACCTTACAGCTCCTTGCACTGCAGGGCTCCTTGCCTTCATCACCTCAATTCCGCTAAATGAAAGAGCAAGATGCCTGCTGTCATCATCCATCCACGCACAGCTGGAAAGATCTCCACTTGCCTCCAGTTAGCACTCAGCCCCCAGAAGAGCCTCTAAGGACTCAAATTAGTTGAGAGCTCCCAGGCTGCTCCACTACCCAAAGGGAAGAATCCCTTTGCCTTGGTTCCAGGGACACCAGCAAGCAGATGAGCGTGAACTGAGAAGCAGCATGCTAATTTAGGGAGCCGAAGGGAAGCAGGGATATTTCACACATTGGAGAATGCCCCAGGACTTGTGCTGGGTGAACCAGGCTGGTGTGCAGCCCCAGGCAGGAGGCAGAGGAGCTGCTTGGCATAGTTTCACATGGTGGACTGCTGTCATGAGCTCAGCAGAACAGGTCTATAGGAGTACAGGAACTAAGCAAAGCAGTGTATGCTTCGGACAGAAACACACGCCTCTCTTTGAGCACTAAGCAGCTCATTCTAGATGAAACTGGGCTGTCACACACATGCTCAGGGCCAAAGCAAAGCTTGATTCCCCCCCCCCACAGCAATGGCCTTGTGCAAATGAACTGTCACCCACAGGCAGGGGTCAGTGCTTGGGAACACAACCCCTGCTCTGCCATCTCGGTGCTCAGCACATGTTTTCCTTTCTCCTCAGCTGACACTGAGCCAAAGGCATGGAGAACAGAGGAGCTTTACATCACCATGCGTTAAGCCTCAGCTCACACATTTGTTTTTCCCCTCCCACCCCAGCTGCAGGGATTTGGTGGGGCAAAGCTGTCCTGCAGTACCTCCTCCTCATTTACACAAACACCAAGTGCAAGTGCACTTACAGAGCGCATAGGGGCTCCCAAGGCTCCTGCTGGGGAGGGGAGCAGAAGAACTGCAGAGAAATGCTCCCCCCTCACACAATGAGCCATTGTTGGAGGAGATGGAGGCGGTGTTGCAGAGCAGGACAGCCACAGAGGCAAACTCAGGAGGCAGCAGGAGGAGATGCCAAGGGCTCCTGTTACAGGGAATTCTGTGCTCATGACCTAGGGCTGTAATGCCTGAAGAGCCCCAGTTGTGAATGAAAAACACAGTAGGGCTGCAGCCTTGGTTGGGTTCACATGGTAAGGCTTTGGTAGCAGAGGGGCCACATCCTCCTGAAGATCTCATCAGATCAGAGCCAGCTCCATAAGGGACACATTGCTGGGCCAGAGCTGAGTCGCCAAGTAATGCTGGTTGCACTCTGAGTATATTTAAGAAAGGGAAAAAGCTGTGCAACAGCAGCTGAGAGCCCATGATGGAGCAGGCAGTCCCCCCCCTGCAGCCCACACAGAGCAGATCTGTGTGTGCAGTCCATGGAGGAGCCCACAGTGCAGCAGGTGGATGTGGTCTGAAGCCATCTTACAGCAAAAGAGCCAGAGGGCAACACAAAGGATGGAGAGCACAGGAGGTTCCAGCAGGGCAAGACAAAACTCCAGCTAGCTTTCTCCATGCTAGAATTTCTAGCCAAAATTCACAAGGAAATAGCAAACAATGCCTGAAATGGAAGGAAGGTCAGGCTTGGTTTGGCTGGAACCAGCCTGAGGACAAACCTGGAGGGCACTGACATAGAAGGCATGTTTTCTCAGAGGCCGTGGGGGAAATGACTGCCTCAGCCACTGCTTAGGAACAAACTGGCTGCACTCAGAACAGCCAGATTTTGTCCTTGACATACTCAGGGGTACAAACTCCAGAGGACACCCGGCAGAACCAGGCTTTTGAGCTGTTCTTCCAGCCCCGAGCCCAGCAGACATCCAAACCTAAGCCCCACACTTGCTGAAAATGGAGCTGGACACGCTTTGGGCAGGACTGGATTAGTGCTGTTGGTTCCAGTACTGGTGCCTTGGAAAGAACTAGAGCAGACTGAAGAAACTTTGAGGGAGAAAAACGCTCATTCAGGATGCAGGGAAGAAGTCCTCCCACCAGCTACTGCCTCGTCCATGACAGCAGCCAGCTTGACTCAATACTGAGGCAGCAGCTTTCCTCTGGGGGCTCTCCCACGCCGCAGGTTGTGCAGCAGCAGCCGCCTGCAGGCAGGATGTCTGCATAGTGACATGGCCCTGCCCTGAGAGAGCAAGTGGGGGAAGCACAAGGACTCTGGTGGGAACAGCACCTCCAGGAAGCTTCACTGCATCCCAGTGATACGGGGGAGGTTTCCATCTCAGCTCAGTCCCTTCTGCTACTCAGCAGAAAATCTCAGGCTGAAGAAAAGGATCTGTTCAGAGCAAAATGGGAGAAAAGAAAACCAGTTCTCACCCTTGAACACTGCCAGCTTCTCCTCCAGATCTTCCTCATCGCTGAACTTTGGGTCACAGAGAAATTCCTGAAACAGTTAAAAGAGTATCCCCAAGGTTAGTGAAAGGAAAATAGCCTGGAGGGCATGCATGCACACAGTGCAGCCCAGCAGACCTACACAGCTCTTAGACAGCCACATCTGAGCAACAGTGCCAGGAGGGTTAAAAATTAGTCTAACCACTCTGTACCTTGCCATTAACTGCCTCCAGTGCCTCTGACTTCTCACCTTCACGACACCCCTCATACTGCTTCATGTTCATCCAAAGTTTCAGCTCCCAGCATCTCTGCTCAAAGCATGCGCAGCACAAGGACTGGGATCCTATTCTGAACAAGGACTCCTGTTCCTGGCTGAAAGCACTCATCTCAGATTTTAAACTCTTGGGTCAACACTGGGGGCTAGCAGATAGAACATGCAAAGTCTGCAGACTACCATGCACCCAAGAGGGCAGGAATTGAGAGGGTAGGAACAGGGCTCCATTTATCTGTCTACTCATTTTTCCCTGTTACACTGCTCAGTGTGGATGGGAAATTCCAGGTCAGCTCTGGTTGCTCATCCCAACCCAACCCCTGAAAGTTCCAGGTGTCTGAGAGCACAGAGCAGAGCACGCCCTGCCAGCCCCACCACCATGCCCCATCAGCATCACGGTCCTGCTCCTGCCCTCCCACACCGCCCTGCTCCAGCTACTTAATGACTCGATCTGTGTTCAGAAACAACACTGCATTCTTCAGAGCAGAAGTCATTAACATCTGCACAGCTCATGCACTGCTTGTCCAGCACAGAACTCCTCCAGAGGCTTGAGTGGAGAGAGCTGAGGCTGTTCCCTGCTCTGTGCATGTTACTCACCAGTTACCCATGAGGGCAGGATGGGGTGGTCCCTATGAGACAACAGGTAGCAGCCAGTGCTGGTAGTACTGGGACAGCATCACACCATCACCGTGAACCCGGACAGATGTCTCTGCTACCTTGCAGATTCCCAAAGTGACACCAGGGACCCTGGTAAATAAACCCGTGAGACACAGGCTCTCTTGCACACCATGGGCATCAGCTCAAGCTGAAAGCTGTGGGGAATAGCAGTGTTCCCAGTTCCTTCTTTCATTCTCTTCAGCCAACTTGCTTTTATTGATTTCAGCTTTTTCTACCCAGGGATATCATGTGCCTGCCCAGCACAAAGGGACAATTGGGCTTTGAGACCTGGGTTCAGCCCAATGAAGTCACCGGAGAGCAGAGTCGTGTTACCCACTGAACAGCTTCTGTAAGAGGGGACTGCCAAACCTCCCCGAGAACAGAAATGGAGCCAGAGCATCACCAGGTCACAGCTCCCTCCTGCCCTGTAGGAGCTGCACACATGGGCAGGATAGGGGATAGGAGAGGAGAGTAGGGGAAGGCAGAAGGACAACTGCATCCCAGTGGGTTGAGGGAAATGCACCTGAGGTGTCACAGCAGGTACAGGGCAGGATGGGGGACACCAGGCACACCTGGCACCCAGACTCCATTCATTTCACTTACAGGGGAACTTCAGCTGTTCCAGCTCAAAGGGAGCAGTATAGTTCAAAGGCATTCCAGCCAGCATACTGTATGCAAGCTGCCCCACCACATTGATAAGGACAGAGCTCACAATAGTGCACGGGAATTCAGTCCCCAGGGCCGGTGACTCAATCAAGCGGCTGAAGTTCCTCCCAGAGCCCTTTGCTAACATGCCCATTTTAGGGGGCTTGTTCTATTAATAAGAACTGCTTAAAAATAAGTCCAGCCACTCCCAAGTTCCTGTTCTTTCATGGAGAAAGAGACATATCCAGGTAAGGAAATCCAGCCACACAAATCTCAGCTACTTGCAAAACAATCTGTGCAATGCCAGATCCTTCTTCACTCCTCAGAAGGGCTCCAGTCAGCAAGCCAGGCTCTCCTGTGGCTGTTTCCCTGCCTCCAGAAGCCAGAAAGGGGCTGAGGGACGCTAGTGCCTGTCCTGGAGCAGCAGGCACCTGCTCCCCACCAGGCTGAGCTCCCCGCAGCCCAAAGCATTAGGAGGTGAAACCAGGTTGAAACTAATCTGTGCTGGGATTAGGCTTGCCACCTTGATGCACAAGGCAGAATAACGTGATTGCCATTCCCAGGAAAATGGGAACAGCCAGCAGGGGATCCCAGAGGAGCTGTTGAGAAGTGCTGCTGGAAGGAAGAGTCCAATGCTGGGCTCAGCTGGCTTTCAGCAGCACGTGTGCACTCCAGACATTGCCTGCCTCCAGACCCTTAACTGAGTGAGAACTCTGGGGTAGAAATCAGCCAGGAAAACAGGGCTGGGTGGGAGCTGTTTGTTGGGATGAGACAATGAGATTACGCCTGATAGAAATGTGGAAATCATTTTTATGAGGAGTAACTCTCCTGGTCTGCAACCCTGGGATGGGGCTTGGAAAGCCCCCTCCTTGACTACAGCCACAGTCAGCCAGCTCTGCAGCTGGGTGCTCCATGCAGGAGCTGCTCCTCTGCATGGCTGCTCACAGCAGCCCCCACCACCAGCATGCAGAGTCCAGTGCATCCCTGTGGGGTTCACTGCAGTGACTGCTTGGGGTCTGAGGGCAGCTGCTCCAGTCCCCTGTCCCAGCACCAAGTCAACACACAGGACGGCAAGGACACAAACAAGTAGCTCCCATCTACAAGAACAGGGAAGTTATGTAGCTTGTTTCATTTTCTGTCATCCAGACCTCGCCAAGAGGAACAGCCTGCCAGAAGCAATGGCTGCTTTGAGAGAACTAGAAGCTTATGCCCTGCATGAGAGGAATAGAAGCTTCCAGGGCACAGCACTGGGCATTATTCTGCAGTGTGCACGGCACTGCACCTCATCCCCACAGATACTGCCTGCAGGAGGATCCCACACCCACCCCAAACCAGGCTGCAGGACAGCCTTGAAGCAGCAGAACTGCAGTGATGGGCACAGCAGCCTTCCTCCCAATCCAAGTGGGCAGCATCCCCTATGGGAATGCTTGCAGACCACCTGCCCCTGTGCTGGGGCACCTCACCCACTTCAAGCAGTCTGTTACAAAGGCTCTATTTTAGCCAAGTGCTCCTATTACCCTGTAGCACCTCCTGGGTTGTAATCACCTAATTCCCTCCCCAGTGACCTACATAACCTCCACCTCAGCTCTCAGCCCTGCTGGGAGGAACACACTAGCACTTCTCCTTGCCCAGTTAACACAGGGGCAAAGCAAAGCAAGCCCACTGCCTCCTCTGGGCTCCCAGCTGGTGCAGCTCTGATTTCCCCACCTCTAACACAAAGCGGGTACTGCCTGCATCAGCAAGGCATCATCAACCTCACTTAAAAGTGACCCAAAAGTGACCCTAAGCGATCTTGTTTCAAGGTTAAAACCTTCTTTTCACCCTCAGAATGGCTCTCAGCCAGAAGGGACACCATAAGCCATGGCAAGGCAGAGGTGTGGCAAACCCCCAGCTCAGGGAAGGGACCCCACCAGAGCCTGCTGCCCAGGGCACACAGCTCAGCACACTTTGCCCTGATCCAGGAGCTCCGTTCCCACTGCCCAAGGCCTGAGAATCACCCAGCAACTTCACGTTCCCCTCGCTGTGATTAAAGAGTTAAGAACCTTGGAGCAGCTCTTCGGAACAGCTAAGAGAGGAATTAAAAGCACCTTATGCAGGGAGGGGAGATTGAGGAACAGCTCCCGTGGCTGCTGGGCTGCTTTCCCAAAGGGAACTTCACAGCACAGAGCACCCATGGGATGGGTGAAGAGCAGCCGGCTCGGAGGGCAGCCCCATAGACAGAGGGGACGGAGAACCACCGCACGCAGCGCTCCCACCCCGCTCCGTCCATTTCCTCCGGGGGGACACCTGCCGCAAGTCGGGGGCAGCTGGGAGCGGCTCCACCTGCCTCCTCCCGACCCTCCCGCAGCCCCCCGCCCGCACCTTATTGATCTCCTCCAGCCGCCCGTCCTGCGGGGCACGCCGCGGTCCCCCTCCGCTCGGCCGTCGCGGAGCCGCCATCGCGCGGAGCCGCCCCGTCCCCCGCCGCAGCCTTAAGTAGGGGCGGGCCGGGCCGGGCTGTAGGGCCCCCGCCCCCCTGTTAACCCCTTCCCCGCTCCACGGGGAACGCGAGCCCGGTGTCCGCGGGATGGAAATCCGCAGGGAAGTACAGATTTCAAGAAAGAAAAAGTGAGGAAACGGCAGAGCGGCACCCACTCTGCTCGCGGTATTCCCCGACGGGCGGGACGTGACCGAAGAGGGTCGGGAAGACGGGAAAAGGACGGGATGGGGACGAGAAAGGGACGGTCTCCCCCTAGCGCACAGCCCGGGGGTGCCGGGGGCATTGCTCCGGCCGCAGAGCTCCGAGCTGCTATCTTGGAGCAGCTGTGCAAAGTACGTTGGTGCGCGTTGCACCTCGCTCAGGAGCGCATCGATGTGTGTCCCGGCCGGGATCTAACAGGAGGCGGCCTTCAGCCCATCGCATCCCCGGCAATCTCAGCGAGACATCGTTTTTCTAAGTGCTGCATTAAAGCGTCCCTAGCAGGAGGCGGCGAGCAGCATCCCGCACCTCCCCGCAGCTGCGTTAAACCCCGGGGGCATCCCTGCAAAAAGCAGCAGCAGCACATGGACAGTGTGTGCTCGTCCTGCTGCCTTGCACCCGGGGTGGACGGGCAGCTCCGTGTTACACGAAGAACTTTTAATGGATACAGCTGTAGGCAAGTGTCACGGGCTAAAAAAACAGTGCCAGGAAGAGCAGGAGGGAGGGTGAACCACATCTCCAGCCATGCACACAAGGCAGGGGCTCGAAGCTTCTGTATCAGCAAGCTGGTGTGCTGAGTAGAGACATGTAACTGTCTTCTCAGGGAGACAGCAGTGCCTGTGACTCCTTGCCTCCCAGCCAAGCCCCATCACGCTGTGCTCTCACTGCTGCATGGGTTTGCTTTTGCTGAGCGTGGAGCCCCTACCATTATGCTCCTTGGTCAGAAGGAAGAGATGGGTTTGCTCAGGGCAGGAAAATGCTGTGCCCTTTGCAGACCTTTGGACCAGCAGAAGATGGAGGTGGGGGAATCCAAGGTCTGGGGCAATGGTTTTACAATTAGCATCACATCAGACTTCAGCAAACCTGAGTTCCTGTGCTGTGAGCAAAGGAACACAGGTAAAGCAGGTTAACGAGTAAACTGGGCTCCAGCCTGTAATGGACCTCTGTGCTGCAGTGGGGAAGGAGGGATGGAGGGTTGTGTCCAGTGGGGAAGATTGGTGACAGTTCTTTGTTCTCTGCCTGGTGAAAGCAATGCTGTGACAGCTCTGTCCACACCTCATGCATCCCTTTGGCTGCTTTGTCTCCTGGCCTGAGGGATGGAGCTGGTGGCTGAAGCTATGCACAGGGCACTTGGGATGCTAAGTAGAACCAGTGTGGGTGAGGACCTGAGTGCAATATTGTATGGAGGGCAATGTAAAGAGCAGAGCAGCAGGAGGGATGATACTGGTAAAGTGGGTGTCCTTCACTCTGCTGGTCACCGCTGAGGGCAATGGGAGGTGTTGGGGCAGCAGCCAGGGACCCATCACTGCCACTTGGAGCAGCCTTCAGGGAGGCTCCGCAAAATGTCCTCCAGGTTCTGTTTGTCGGCCAAGATCTCCACCAAGTCGCTCTCAAACGCCCGGATCCTATCCTGCTGCAGCTCTGCCTCCTGCTGCAGCTGCCTGAGCCGCGTGGCCAGGGCTCCTGGAGCACTGAGCCGCAGCCGCAGCTGCTCCAGCTGCAGCCACCCGGCACCCAGCACCGCCTCTGCCTGCGTGCCTGACTCCAGGCCTCCTGGGTGAGGTGAAAAAGTGAGGGTGAGAGACAGGAGCAGGGCAGGATGCAGCCATGCTCTGACCATCAGCACCAGCTGACTGGGAGGGAGCCGGTACAGCGGGGCATGGAGGCAGGGCAGCAATCATGGATAAGCAAATACCCGTGGCCTGGGCACATCTTTCTCTTACGTATGGATGATGGTTTCTAGCCCTTACCTCAGTCTGCTCCTCTTGGAGATGACAAGGAAAAGCACTGTCCACACACCAGGCACGAGCACATGCTCTGCACACCCCAATTCATCCTACACAATGGCTTTCCCTGACACACAGCCCCACAGAAGCTTTGTGGGACCCAGAGCCACCTCTGGTGCAGGGCATCCAGCTGAGCCTGGACAGTGCTAATCCCATCCCCAACCCCATAACTGGCACATCCCTTCCCCCATACCTCCCAGCACACCCTAGGCCCAATACCCAGTGCCTCAACTCTCACCCAGGCTGTGCAGCAGATCATTCAGGGTCTTGATGTCTGCCATCAGTGAACCCCGGGCTTCCTGCAGGCTTTTTGCCATCTTGCTCACCTCCGTCCCCACCTTGCAACACAGAGACACCTGGATCAGGGACACTGGTGACCCTTGGCTGGATCAGACAAGGAACAGCCCCAAGGCATTCCCTATTCTGTGCTGCTCCTGATGCTCTGTGCTGCAAACAAAGCTCCTGGACAGGATACAGCCACACGAGGGGACCTGACTCACCTGCTCTGCCTCCTCCAGGCTCCCCCTGAGCTCCTCAGCCATGCGCTGCTGCTGGGACAGCTGCTGCTGGGTCTCGTTGACACATGTGGTGAGTGTCCTGGTGTGCTTGCGAGCCTGCTTGCTGCCCTGCAGCACAGCCTGGGCCCTCTGCCAATGACAGAGGTGGAGACAGTCACCCCAGCAGACAGCAGCGGGGGTCCTGCTCCCTGCACCCCAATCCCTCTGCTCAGACCTTACTGCTCTCTGCAGCAACACGCTCAGCCTCCCCTGCCTTCTTCCTGGCCGCGCTGGAGACAGACAAGGAGTTTCCCAGCATTTTCTCCGCCTGTTTAATCTTCTTCTGGGCCTCCACCATCGTTCTGTCCTGCACTTGTGCCATTCTCCTTCTCAGGGCAGCGCGACCCTTCCGATGCCCCAGCACCTTCCTCATGCCTGCAGGGACAGCCAACCTTTGGGCACCCAGTGCAGGCACCCAGGCTGTGAGCAGAAATGTTCTGCCCAGAGCCTTTTACCTTCCAAGCTGCCCAGGAGGGACTCTGCACCAGAGATAACTGCTTTCCCCTGTGAGACTGCTGAGGTGGACAGATTATGAGCAAAGCCGGCCCGGTCTTGGAGCTGGGGATGGGAGGGCAGGAGTGAGGCTGGGGAGAGGGCAAAGAGCTGCTGGAGCCCCAGCCCTGTGCCTTGGATGGGATGCAGGAGAAGGATGCACCCAATATGCCCACATCTCCAGCTGGCACAGGGCTTCCCCATCATTTATTTTGTGGCTAAGCAGTGATTACCTGTACAAAGCTTTGAGTGCCCCGCAGGTCCCGGCGCAGCCCAGCTGCCATGCTGAGAGATGCTGTGATGCTCTGCCAAGCTGCTGGCTCCTGCGCCTGCGCTGTCTGCTCCAGTGCTGCCACCTCCTGTGCCAGGGCCCCAGCTTGCACCAGCAGCACCTGCTGTAGGGAGAGAGCTACCAACAACTCCAGGAGGGCATCTCCCAGCACAGGAGGGAGCAACACTGATGGGTACAGTATGGGATGCAAACAGGAGCTGGATGCTGCTCACCTGCCCTGGAGCAGTCACCTGCTGAAGCTTCTCGGCCATGCCTACATTTGCCTCCTGGATGGCTGTAAGAGCTCTCCTGGCTTCCACTGCCACCTCTTCCATGCCAGCACCCAGCTCCTTCCACGCCCACTGAATTTCCTCATACCTATGTGGACAGGATGCCATGGGCACCCAAAGCCAAGCAGTGCTTCAAAGCACAAGTGGCAGCTTGGGACATGGGAAGGAGTCTGAAACACTCCCAGCATGGAGCACCCTGGCTCTCCACTTTGCAGTGCTGCCGTGCAATGAGTTTGTCGGGACTCTGTCATATCCCCAGGCATGGGGGAAGGGAATCCATTGCCCCACTCCCCCCACTGCCAGCTTCTCACCCAGCCTCCAGCTCCTTCTGTGCCTCTTGTGCCACTCTCCCCTCCAGCAGTGTCCTCAGGAGCTCATGGCTGGTGTTGGAGGCACCCAGCGCTCTCTTCACTGCCGCCTCCACCTGTGCTGCAATATCCCCGTGCCTGCAGGGACAAGGGGACATGGGGAGGTGTCACTGGGACTGGTCCCTGTATACTGGCATCAGACAGGGTCTGGGCTTCCCTGTTTCCCCCACCACCAACCATGAGTGTGTGCCAGGAAGGTCCCAGCACAGCAGTTCTCCCTGTGGTGCCCAACATACCTCTCTGCCAGCACCCGTGCCTCCATTGCCAAGCGGCTCCAGTTGGTGGGCAGCAGGGGGATCTCCAGGGGAATATCCTTGCAATACAAACAACAGCAGTGAGACCCCAGTGCCATACCCACGTGGATCTGCTGCCCAAAGACAGCCAGTACCCTCAGGAGCCCGCACCGTGGCAGCCAGAGTGTTGGTAGCATGCAGGATTTCCCTCTGTGCTGACTGCAGCACAGCCCTGATCTCTGACAGCAGTGTGCAGGTCTTGGTGGGTCCCTGGCTGGAGCAGCCACTAGCCCTGATGGCATTGCTGAGATGGCCCCGTGCAGTGCTTAGCATCTCTGACAGCCGTCCCACCTGTGCTGAGAGCATGGCATGGGCACCTGTGAGCATATAAACAGCTGCTTAGTGCAACTCCTGGCTGTGCTGGCCCCCATGGGTGCTTGGGGTTGAAGCACCTGCAGGATGGATGCTCAGCCCACAGTGAAGCCCATCACCAGCTGCCCCACAATAGCTGTGGGGTTCATCCCTGCCCTTCAAAGTGCACCAATCTGCACCTGGCATTGGCCTGCAGCACCCCACAGTGTTCTGTGCCATTGCCCTCCCAGGCTGTCCTCCCCATCTTCGTCATCCCACTGCTGACACAGGATCCCCTTGCATCCACCCAGTCACATCATGGTACCCAGCTTCCCTGCAGGGGTGACACAAGGCTTTCTGCTTCCCAGCCCCACTGGGGCTGCCTCTTACCTTGCAGGAGGTGTTGTGTGCTCAGCCCATCTCCCCGGCTTGCATCTCCC